TGACTCAACTTCTCTGAGTCTCAGTTTCCTCAACCAGAAAATGGGGATTATCATCTTTACATGTTGGGGATTTGGTGACATATGACACATATCTGCAACCACTTAGTGCTGTTTCTGGAACCAGATGGCAAATGCCCTGGACCAGGTTAACTCTCCACACCTCAGTTTTCTCATCTGTCAAAGGGGATGATAATAGCACCTTGTGCGTTGAGGTTACCGTGATGGTTACACAAGCTAATCCATTGAGGTCACCCAGCACAGTGACTGCCACAGAAGGTGCTCAATACGACGGTCAGTGATCCTGAAAAGAGTGAGGACGCCCTCTAGGAAGTGACAGGGAGAGATCTCCAGATCAGTGTTGAGTGTGGCATGCTCCCACTTGGGCAGAAAGTGGGGAAATCAGGCTACAGAGCCATGTTTGCTTGGATTTACACAGGACATTCTAGAAGGATATTGAAAAACTAGTAAATGGACTTCCCTCGTGGGGATGGGCCGGAGCAGGACTCTTGACTGTACACGCCTTTATACAACTCTTATTTGTCATCCATGTGAAGGGGAATTATCTATTCCAACGTTAATTAACATGAACAGGTGTGCTGCTAACTTTCTTATGCCTTCTGAGCAACCGTTTCTGCCCTGTGAGGAAGGTGGTCTATGCTCTACCTGCCTAACGAGGGCTTTGCAGGGATTTAGAAAGAAAATGGCCCAGAGAAACAGGAAGAAGCTGGGATGGGGAGAGTAAGGAGGATGACAGTGATGCAAAGATGAGGGGGCACAGGGGGCCGGGGGCAGCTCTCCCTGCCACTCTCCCAGGGAGGGGCACCGTGGCCACCTTACTGAGCCACGTCCCAGGACCTGAGCCTCAGTAAAGGCAGACTCACCAGCTGGACAGCTTGCTCTGGCCCCAGCCCTTGGCCTCTTTCCTCATATACCTGTGGCCCAAAGGACACCCCTCAACCTGCATAGCACTTTAGAGGGGGGACCTGCCTGTGACCCTTGACACCAGGCTGGAGCTTTGGGGAGCAACAAGGAAGCCCTGGTAACAACACAGAGCTGGGGGATTGGATGAGGATTTAGAAAGGAAAAGAAGAAATTCTGCCCAGTGAAGGCAGGTACTGGCTGGACCCTGCCAAGGTCTTGCCTGGTCCTGGGCTCAGTGATAGGTCATGGGAGAGTCATCTCATTTATCCCTAACTCTCCAATATAGATTCTATCATCATGCGGAGGAGGAAACTGAGGCTTAGAGCATCTCAGATCATTGTACTGCCAGCTGTAAGTAGCTGGGTTGTAGCTACCCCAACCTATCTCCCACCCCACAGCAGGCTGGTCCTGAAGGTGGACCCAGTTCATAGCAGCAGAGTAGCAATGACCATAGCTTAGCTCAGAAGTCCTAGTGGCAGTGGCCGTAGTGGTAGCGGCATAGGTAGCGGAAGAATCCCTTCTGCAGGAGGTTTCCACACTAATTAGATGTCCAAAGGCCATGGACAAGGTCAGGGAGGGCTGGGCTTGGGCTTCCCCCAGGACTCTATCCTCCTGAAACTTCAGGGGAAGAAGGCTGGAGGAATGAAAGCACTTTTTCATGGAATTCCAACAGGAAACCCACGAGAACATTCCTGCCCTGAGGATTCCAACAGGAAAACCACGAGAACATTCCTGCTCGTGGGATTCCAACCAGAAAACCAAAAGAACATTTCTGCTCGTAGGTTCCAGCTGTGAAGGAGGCTGGTCAGTGGGTAGAGAGGGAGGAGAGGTCTTGCTCACCCCGATGAGTGGTCTCCAGAGCCCCACTTGGATCCAAAGATTCCTCTGACCTCCGACCCCCGATGGAGCTCCAGCTTCCAGGATGGCAGTGGGTCATTTGCAAATTGGCAAGCCTCAGTTCCCAGTCTTGCTACCTTTGTCCAGAGTGACGGTT